CCTATACATTGAGCCTCTCCTGAGGCACGAATCCCTCCCAGGAGGCCCCAGGAGGCTCCAGGAGGCTCCAGGAGGCTCCAGGAGGCCACACGAGGTCCCAGGAGGCATCAGAAGGTCACAGGAAGCCCCAAGAGGCCCCAGGAGGCCCCAAGAGGCTCCAGGAAGGAAGCACGAGGAGGCCCCAGGAGGTTTCAGGAGGCCCCAGGGGGCCCCGAGCTCATGCGCACAAACTCACTCGCGCTACTGAGACTCCATCCCAATATATGAATACGCAAACCCGTCTATATTCAAATTCTCTTGCGCCTGACACTCACCGCGGACAGGTCTATGCACATAGATGCACATACGGAGAGCTCCACGCAGTGAGTAATTACTTAAACGCCTCCTACTCCTTGCTCTCCTCCTCTTCTCCTCCTCCCCTCCTTTCCTCGTCTCCCCTACTGAAGGCACCAGGAGCAGGAGGCCTCAAAAGGCCACAGGAGTGGCTTCAGTCCCATGTGTTGTACGTATGCTCTTATAGATGGAAGCCCCCGTGGAGCACGAATACTGTTTGAGTTTTACGTATGTGTCAATATATTGTCCTTTCCTTGTGTATCCAATCCAGCGTGCTTTCTTATGTTCTTACTGATTGGGCCTCCCCTGGGGCACGAATCCTTGGTGTTTTACGAATGTTCCTATCTATTGCCCTTCTTTTGCGGTTCCAATATGCCGTGCTTTGTGCAAGTCTGCTCGTATAGATTGGGCCTCTGCTGGGGCACGAATCGTCCCCAGGAGGCCCCAGGAAACCCCAAGGAGGCTCCAGGAGGCCCCAGGAGGCCACACGAGGCGCCATGAGGCTCCAAGAGCTCCAGGAGGCCCCAAGAAGCCCCTGGAGGTTTCAGGAGGCCCCAGGACGCCCCAGGCTCATGCGCAGAGACGTGCTCGCACTACTGAGACTCATTCGCACTCCAACTCGTTCACAGTTAGAGTCATCCCCAGACCATCAACACAATGTCAGCTTGTGGTTAACACATGTGGGAAGCGCTTGTTAAAACAAATCCGCCGACCAGGTCGGCGTGTGTGAGGGGCTTGTCCGTCCAAGTCGTCATCTCCGTCATTCGTTGGTCGTCGCCTCTGTCGTCCCCTTTCCCTGCCCTCGTCGACGCTCCCCCCTTTCGCGCGCCAACCAAAGCGAAGTTGAGCAACGTCGTAATTGATTGAGTCGAATGGAGGCCCCTTCCCTTCGATCCCTCCCTCCAGGGGGGGGGGTCCCTGGGGGGGCTCCCGGGGTGGGTCCGGGGGGGGGGTCCCCGGGGGGGGGGTCCCAGAAGGGGAGGGGTCAGATACGACGCCCCCCCAGGGAGCCCCAAAAAACTTTCAGACGGGCGGCCAAGAGTGCCCCAAGAGGGCCCAAAGACAGTCCAAGAGAACCCCGGATCGCTGAACGATCTGTCCAAGACGCCTTGACGGCCTCCAGACAGCCCAACAGGCCTGCAAAGCGCCCCAAGAGGCCTCCAAGAGCTTTCCCACGAGAGCCCCAAGAGGCAACATTCATGGAATGGATGTCTCATGCGTTTTGACAGATTTTGGCGTTCTTGCCTCTTCCGCTTCCCGACGCGCCCAAGATCGCCCCGAGACGGCCCAAGAGGCCCCCAAGAGGGTCCGCGAGCGGCCGAAGAGGGCTCCAAGACGGCCCAAGACGCCTCCAAAACGGCCCAAGAGGCCCCCAATATTGCCCCAAGACAGCCCAGGAGAGCCCCAAACTGCCCAGGAGGCCACCAAGAGTGCCTCGAGACGGCGTAAGAGGAGCCCTGGACGGCCCAACACGGCCTCAAGAGAACCCCGGGCTGTCCCAAGAAAGCCTCTGTCCTCCTCCTTTTCCTCCTCCTCCTCCCCCTCCTCCTCCCCCCCCTCTGCTCCCGCTCCTCCTGCTCTCCTGTGGCTCCTTCTCCTCCTCGTGCTTCTCCTCCACATCCTTCTCCCCCCTCCTCCTCCCTCATCCACCTCCTCCTCCCTTCCTCCACCTCCTGCCCCCCCTCGTTTTCATCTTCGTCGTTCTCAGGGTCGTCGACATCGGCCATAAGGCCTTCGCAATAGCTCCCCTGCTCGGGCGAATCGCGGGGCGGCACCCGCCAGATTGAAAATCAACGGAGCAGCCGGTGATTAGCGACGACGCCCCCGCCCGCCAACGAGGGGCAAAAGGGGGGGTGTTTGGAGGCAAGGGCGAACCAGGGCACCCCTCTTTCTGTCGAGCCGATGCGGGCCTGCGGGCAAGGCGGGCTGGGCGAAAGCCGGGCGCAGCAAAGGGGGGATTTGCCAAGCAGCTCACGTCGCCGATTTTCCAAGCGCCTCCTGGCGCCGAAAACGGCCATGCGTCGAGGACTGGCCCTTCGGCGGGGCGACCGAAACCAACTGCGCGCAGCAGGCTTTGCACCCCCCCCCTTTCCTTCCCCAGCCTCTCGTCCGACCCGAGCGAGGCGGGTAGTCCTCCTCCCCCCCCTCTGTCGCCGTCGTCGCCGCCGTCCCCCGCCGTGCCTGCGCCCGTTTCCAGCGGCCGCTCTCTTCGTCGACGGCGACGGCGACGACGACGGGACGAGCGGCGGACGGCAGACGGCGACGGCGGCGACGACGACGACGACGCACTGCGAATGCCGTATGGTGGGGGGGGTGCTGCGCAGGCCCGCTGTAGTCGACGACGACGACGAAAAAGAAGACGACGACGATAAGGACGACGAAGAAGAATAAGAAGCAGAAGACGACGATGACGACGAAGACGACGACGGCGGCGGCGGCGACGATGACGACGCCGACGACGACGCCTGAGAGGGGGAACGACAATTCGCCTCGGATGTGTACGATCCTTATTAAACTTCTATGCGAAAGGCATTCGTTTTGAGGCTGTGATGCAGGGGGTACACGATGCCCTCGGCGGCGCCAGCGACGACCCCCTGGCGCGCGTGATTGTAAACAAAGTTTCGCGCCCCGCGGGGTCTATTCATCAGCCCGCGGGGGGGGCTTTTCGTTAAGCACAAGCTGACATGACTCAAGCCCGTTTAGATTCGAAAACCCTTCCGCCTAGGCACGCACGGCGGACAGGTCCATGCTAATAGATGTAACTATAGGGAAACTCCCCGCAGTGAGTGATTGTTGACTACAACCACGCGTGTGCTACGCGCGCACTGAGGTTCTAGTTCAATCCCGGGCGCTGTGATGAACGCAGGTGAAGCAGTCCTTGGCCTTCCCTTGTCCTCGCCTCTCCTCCCTGCCCGAATCGTCCCGAACGCCCGCCTATGGCTCGATTCATGGCCCTCAAAAAAAAACAGAGAGAGAGGACTGGAGGGGGGGGGGGGGGGGGGGGGGAGGGAGGAGGGAGGCATCGAGGATCCCGGGGGATCGAAGTTCTGGAGGAGGCTTCTTGGGGGCTCTTTGGGAAGCCTCTTGCGCATCTTGGGGGGCCTCTTTGGGGCCCGCCGTGGGCCTCGTGGCTGGGGGTCTCTCGCCTCGCTGGGCCTGTGGAGGCCTCCTGGGGGCTTCTTTGGGGGGCCCTGTTGGCGGCCTCACGGGTCCTCTTGGGGCGGATGGCTTGAGGGGTCAACTGTCCATGCCCCCCCCTCGTGGGGCTCTCTTAAGAGGACAGAAAATCCACCCCCATAATTATCACCCCGGCACGCGGAGCCGCACCCGCAAAGGCATCAAACAGGGCAAGGCCATTTAGGAAACGCCCAGGGCCGTCTAGTCAACGCCAAGGATCGGCTACGGGTGGTTTTTCTTCCTTTGACTCTTGGGGCTCTGTTGAATCGTCTTGGTAGCTTCTGAGGCCGCCCTTGGGCCCTCTTGGGCTATCCATGGGCCTCCTTGGGTGCCAATAGGGCCATCTTGGGGGCCCATGGGGTCGGCCTGGACGGAGTGAAGGCCGAAAAACGAATACGCTGAACATACTTGTTTCCCGCAGGGACCGGAACCATTGTTGCCAATCGGGGCCCTCTTTGGGGCCCTCTTGGCTTGGGGCCCTCTAGTGCGAGAGCGATCTTTAGGGCTTCTTGGACCGTCTGAAACGCCTCGTGGGGCTGACTGTCTGAGACCCCTATCTAGGCCCTCTTGAATTGAATGGACGACCGTCCGACCGCTTTCAGAGCGAGCTTGGGCTCCTCGAGAGCGGGCTATGATGCCCCCGAACACCTGTGGGGCAAAACTGGGCCACCAGGGGGGAATGGCGGAGAATGTCAAGCGTGTGCTGGCCCTGGGCTCGGGGACTAGGACGCTGGTGTCTATATCAGTTCTTGTGATATATGTGTATATGCACATGTGTGTACACGTGCGCATTTATATGTAGATCCATACGATAAGGAGCACGTCGGCCCTGAGCCGAAGTGCGCACTGAACGTGCGGCTGCCAGCGTCGAAGCTGACGGCGTCGAGACCTCGGGTACGTAGCTGGGGCGCAGCGCGATGCGCGCAGCGCTCTCCCGGGGACGGCGCTCTCAGGGCAACAAGAGAGGGGTGGGAGAGGAAGGATGAAAGTACCGAGATGGCAGGAATGAGATGAGGAAAGAGGGAATCGGCCCTGAGGCGCGCGCCTGCAGGAGCTTTTAAACCGAAGCTCGGCACTGAAGAAACTGCCTCATCGACCGTTACTACAAGGCCGTGCCTTCGAACAAATAAAGAGATCAGCGGTGAGGAGAGGGCTCTCCAGGAAGGTCAAGCACTGAAGCGTGTAGAGCGCACCGAGTGTGGAGATCGCAGTAGCTGCTGGCGCCAACGGTGACTGTGTCAACCTACGCTGGACAGTACGCAAGAGAGAGGCGCGGCGGAGCCCCCCAGGGCAGCAAGAGAGGCGTGGGAGAGGGAGAAGGAGGAGGAGGAGGAGGAGGAGGAGGAGGAGGAGGTTGAGGAGGAGGTTGAGGAGGAGGAGGAGGAGGAGGAGGATGAGGAGCGGCACGAGCCTCAGGGAAAGATGGGGAGGAAGCCAACTCAGAGCCACGCGCCCTCATGAAGCCGCACGCCGATCCCAAATTGCTGAGATTACGCCGCGCATGAGCGCGCCTGGAGGAGCAAACGGTGAAGCAGAAACTGCTGATCGCCCGCGCGGACTTCCTGCACTGGCGCTGGACCCCCCTCGTGGGCCAGGAGGGCCCAGCGCAGATCCAAGAAATCCACGCGGACCTCCGACAAACTGTGCTGTCGGCTCCCTCGGTTAAAATATTTTTTGTCGAAGAAAAACAACAACTGCATGAACGTAACATGTCGGAACTCCGCGCTGATTTCTTGGATGGGTGCTCGGCCCCCTCGACGAGCGACGCCTGTGGCGCCCGGCGCGCCAGCAACAGGGGGGCCCAATGCCGATCAGAGAAACATCCGCGCGGAGCTCTGAAAGTTTTTTATCATCATGCCGTTTAGCGGGCTTGCTTTCCACCGCCACCACCTGAAGTGGGAGGGGGAGGGTGTCCTCCTCCTCCCCCTCCTCTTCTTCCTCCTCCTTCTCGTCCTCCACCTCCTTCCCCCCAATTTGTGATGGTGGTGGTGGAAAGTAGGCCCATCACCGTTTTCTCTTCTTTGATGCGCCTTCGATCCTCACCCGCCCACGCTGTAGCCCGAGTACTCTGGCGGGACGTCCTCCACGGCGCCACCCGCTGCGAGGCCTTCTCCGGCCAACCCGCAGCGCGGGTGCCCGCGCGACGCCGAGTACAGGCCGACCAATCGGAGAGGCAAAGGGGGATTGTCGGCTACACGCAAGAGTGACCCTGGCCAAGCTGCCCCGATACGCAAACTCGCAAGATGCAGCGTACTGGCACGGAGCTCAGCACGCAGACTGAACGTGCAGACATTTCGCCAAAACGTGGGCCAACACGCTGAGACAAAACACAACCTATCGATACGGACCCAGACCCCTGACGTCGTGTTTTTCTCGCAACGTCGACCCCCAACTGTCTGGACCCCCTCCCCAAGGCAGGTTTTTCATCCTGACTCGTCTTCGACGGTCCCAGGGCCCAGAAAGGGCCCCCGGAGGCAGAAAATAGCGACCCCCCCTCCCGTCGTGATTTCTTCAAAGCGCTAGGGGGTCTGGGGACGTTTTGAGCACTGCACGTGCTGCGTTTCACGACGGGAGCATCGAGGCAGCTAAGGACCCTATAGGCATGAGTCAGTATTCCTACAGGCGGGTCTTGGACAAACAAAAGAATCAAAAATAGTTAAGCATAGTAGAAAAATCGTTCACAAACTATGGTGTGACTATTTTGGAACTAGGGGGGCGTGCCCGACTTAAGGCAAGAGTGGGCTCTGGTGGGCGGTTTCCGGGGGCCGCCCGCCATGGGAGGGGGGCGGCAAATCTAGACGCGCAGTCCGCTGCTGTCAGAACGGGCATGTCCTCCTACAGGCGGGTTTTGGAAGAAACAAATTAGCCTGGCGAAGGACCCAACCATATGCAATGGTGGGTAACGCAATTATGAATCGGGGGGCGGGCGGTGAGAGCGCCTTACCCCCCTACGCCGTGTACCTCATGCGGCCGGGGCGATCGGCTATGTGAGCGGATGTGAGAGATCACGCAGGCATTACGGTCGCGTCTACAGACCCTCTTGACTGGGGGACATGAGGGAGATGCTGATTCACGGTCGGTGTCGACCCAGCCACCGCGCTGGGACCGCTGGTGTTTGCTTCTGGTGAGCTTGACGCTATTGTGTGGATGTTGCAGTGCACTCGTTGGCACCAGGGCCAAGGTTCACGTCTGTCTGGATGGACTCGGCGTTTCGGCGCTCCAGGTTTCGCGGCCTGGCGGACGTCTCAGTGCGGGGGTGAGAGACCCACTGAGGGCGTAGACCATCTCAGTGCGGGGGTGAGAGACCCACTGAGAAACCCTGGTCTGTGGATCGTGTCCCAGGCTTGCGCTGCTCAGGTCTGCTCTGTAGTGTTATGTTCTCCGGCGGCGTCATCGGCAACGAATTCGTGATGCGCAAATCGACGTCAACACGCTCGTCTACTGACTTGCATGCCTTTCGAACTTCCTTGTGCAGTTAGGGATCACCTTTTTCGTCTTTACAGCTGACCCTTTGTATAGTCCTCGTTGACATTTTGTCTTGAGGCGGGGACCATCTTTGTCTCCTTTCTCTCTGCGGCGTGGCTAGGCAACATTTCACAAGGTGCGCTCTTGTGAAGCATAGGCCGCGGCGGCTCCAACAGGCCTTGTGAACATTTCACAAAAGGAGCAAATGGTTGCACAAGTCCCACCAGCCCGTTGGGCGTGAGTGGTTTAGAGAGCCCGCTCTGTCCTCAACCCCCCTTCTTCCCCTTCGGGGAGGGGTTTACCCCTCCCCCTACCCCCTCCCCTGGACCTGGAGAGGGCGGGCCGAGTGGTGTCAGGGGGTCTTTTTCGACTCCTGGGAGGGCAAAAAAACGACGACCCTCACGAGGATTCTGGCCCCCAGGGGGGGGGGAGTTTGGCGCCTCTACTCCTCTTCGAAGCAGAAATCATTGATTTTACCAGGGTTTTGGCCCCATTTTGGACTTCTGAGGGGGCCGCGCTCATCGTCCTTCATAGCAAAATCATTAATTTTACGAAGGTTTTGGGCTCATTTTGTCCTTCTCAGGGGGCAGCTCTACTTTGCGCTTCTGAGGAGGTCGCAAGAGGCCCCAAGATGGCCCCAAGAGGCCCCCAGGAGGCTCCCAAGAGGCCTCCAAGAGGCCCCCAAGAGGCCCCCAAGAGGCCCCAAGAGGCCCCCAAGAGGCCCCCAAGAGGCCCCCAAGAGGCCCCAAGAGGCCCCAAGAGGCCCCCAAGAGGCCCCCAAGAGGCCCCCAAGAGGCCCCCAAGAGGCCCCAAGAGGCTCCAAGAGGCCCCCAAGAGGCCCCACGAGGAGCCCGAACGACTCACACCAGGACGAGGGGCCCGAACGACTCACACCACGAAGAGCCCGAACGACTCACACCACAAGGAGGGGCCCGAACGACTCACACCAGGACGAGGCGCCCGAACGACTCACACCACGAGGAGCCCGAACGACTCACACCACGACGCGGGCCCCGAACGACTCACACCACGAGGAGCCCGAACGAGTCACACCAGGAGGAGGGGCCCGAACGACTCACACCAGGATGAGGGGCCCGAACAACTCACACCACGAGAAGCCCGAACGACTCACACCAGGACGAAGAGCCCGAACGACTCACACCACGAAGAGCCCGAACGACTCACACCAGGAAGAAGGGCCCGAACGACTCACACCAGGACGAGAAACCCCAAACGACTCAAATCACGAGGAGCGCTTTCTCTCCCTCCTCCTCCGCCTCGTCCTTCTCCCGCTCCCCCCACAAGGAGGATGTACAAGGAGGCGGGAGGAAGGAGGAACAGGGGAGATATGCGGGCCCAAGCGGACACACGCCTGACAAACACGACTGTCGGCATGCTTCGCAAGAGTTGCTGCTGTGAGATGGGCTGGTGGGGATACGCGAAGCGTAAAGAATTTACTCTTGTGAACTACACTTCCTATGTAGCATCATTGTGCCGGTAGGGGACAATACGTCCCACCTGGCCTGCCCTGTGTAGTTTCGCGCTCCAGGTAATCAGTGCGCTGTGAGGGCGACAATAGCGTCCGCCCTGAGCAATTTACCATTTCCCTAGGGGGTCTGATGCGCCTCCTAGGGCACAGAGGTCAGGCAGCCCCTGACTATACCACTACACGCAATTCTGAATCTCATCTTGGATGGAACTCCCATGGCGCCACGAGCCGTGTGAGGGGTGTGCCAAGGTGGGCGGGGGGAGACGCATGTGGACGGCGGCACTGGGACCTCTGGTGGAACCCCGTACGATGCCACGAACCGTGTGAGCGGTAAGCTGAAATTGGGGCCTTCGGTGGGGCTCCTATGGGGCCACGAACCTCGGTGTGCGGAAATGGGGCGGCGGTGCCACGCGGACCCTGCCACTGGGGCCTTCGGTGGAGCTCCCTATGGGGCCACGAACTGTGTAAAGGGTGTGCCGAAATGGACTGGGCCTTTCGGTGGAGCTCCCTATGAGGCCACACGCCGTGTGAGCGGTGTGCCGAAATGGGGTGGCGGTGCCATGCGGACCCTGCCACTGGGGCCTCCAATGGAGCTCTTCATGGGGCCACGAACCGTGTGAGGGGTTCTGCCAAATAGGGCGGCAATGCCATGCGGACCCTGCCACTGGAGCCTTCGGTGACGCACCCCATGGGGACACGAACCGTGTGAGGGGTGGGCCAAAACTGGCGGCGGTGCCATGCGGACCCTGCCACTGGGGCCGTCGGTGGAGCTCCCTATGAGGCCACGAACCGTGCTAGGGGCAAACTGAAATGTTGCGGCGTTGCCATGCGGACCCCACCACTGGGGCCTTCGGTGGAGCTCCCGATGGGGCCACGAAGCGTGTGAAGGGTGTGCCGAAATGGGGCGGCGGTGCCATGCGGACCCTGCCACTGGGGCCTCCAGTGGAGCTCCCTATGATGCTACGAACCGTGTTTGGTGGAACCTGCTTGCGGCGTTGCCATGCGCACCCTACCACTGGGGCCTTCGGTGGAGCTCCCTGTGGGGCCACGAGCCGTTTCAAGGGTCTGCGAAAATGGAGCGGCGTTCTTGCGGACCCTGCCACCGTTTTTTTACAAGCTGTGTGCCAGGCTCGCGCGGCGCGAGCTCAGGTCAAAGCTGCCGCCATGCTGGCGGCCGCGGCACACGCGGCAGGCGAAAGCCTGGGATCGGGGAGCGGCGTGGCAAAGGAGCGAGCGGCCAAAAAGCCAACCCACAGCCGCGCCGCCGTTCCCCCCGTCAGTGAGCCTGCGCCCTTGGCTGCGCTTCTTTCGGCGGCAGCCCGGTCCTGATCCCTTGGACCTTCGCGAGGCGATGCTGCAAGCCTCGAGCGCTCTTGGGGAGCTTGTACTCTGCTGCAGCCAACCCACGGTGCTTGCCACCGACCACGCGAGCGTAGCAATGGCATCTACTGCAAAGGCGGTACCTACTGGCGGTAACTAGCTGGTGCCCGCCGCTGGCCACCCCCGGGGCCCCAGTGCCGTCGCCCGCGAAGGGCGCGGCGGCAGAGGGCCTAGGGGGGCCCCCAACGGCCGCCGACCGAGACGGATCGGACGACCTCGAGCGGCGGGCGAAAAGATGGCCGCTCTGCGACGGGGCCTGGCTGCTGGAAGGCAGGCTCTCGGCAGGCGGCGAGAGACCTGGCCCGCAGGTGTGCTCCGCAACATCAGACAGAGGCCGCTGGCTGCCCTTCGCGGCAGCCAGGGCTGGGCCACAGCGGCGGGGCCCACGGGGGGCAGCAAGGGGCCTGGGGGGGGGGCGGCCTTGGGGTGCCCTCCGAGTTCCTCCCCCGCCACCCCCCCGCGGCTGCGGACCCCGCCCTCGCTGCGCGAGGCAGCGGCGCGACTCCCGCTCCTCACGCCGACAGCGGCCTCCGAGCGGGGGCCCGCGGCAATGGGAGGGCCCGCGGGCCTCTCGACAGCCGCTTCCACCATCGAGCCAGAGCCAAAAGAGGCTTCTGCAGCGGGGCCCGCAGGACGTCCAGGCTGGAGATCCCCAGGGCCAACAGCAGCCGTGCCTGCGCATGCCTCGCACACAGATGGCGCCCCCCCCCCCCCCTCACTCGGGAGGCCCGCCTCGCTCGAGGTGGCCCCAGAGGCGATCTTCTGTTTGGTCGTCTTGGGGGCCTGAGCGGTCTCGCCGGCGTCGCCGCGCTGCCCAGACTGGCCGCCAGCCGCCGCCAAGGTAGGGGATGCCGCCA